ACTTTGAGTACAACCCTCATCTAGACTATGAAATTTTGCCAGCAGAGCTGTGTCAGATAGACAGTGTGAAAAGAGCAGACCTTGTAACCAATGTAACCCTGAAAAATTCCTCTCACTAACACAACTATGTTCACACCTGGGGGCAGAGTCGCCAACCTAAGAAATATTTTTTAACTGGTAATCTGCAAACTTTCTAGTGACAATAAAACTATTTTACTAACACATGTTTTTACTGCCAGTAAAAAATAATTCTTGCGTTGGCAGCCCTGTATGACTACAGCAGTATTTCTATACCCTGCTGTCCCTAACACATTGTCTCCTACTCATGCCACATCCTGACACCTCTGACAACTATGACTGCACCCTGTACGGTGCTGCTCCCCCCAACCCACCTGTCAGTTCTGCTCCCCCTGTCCTGGCCCAGACCCCCAATTACCACCTCTTCTCCCCTCCCAGCTCCACAGCTCTGTCCCTGTCCTGCCCTGCTCAGCAATGGCTGGGACACTTACAGAAGTTACAGAAGGGCACCTTGATCACACGGGGTGTGTCTACACATGCAGTTATGGCACATGAATAAACTCTGAGCTTATTGCTCCAGAGTTTATTGCTCCCGGGTGTGCCATTTGAATGTATACCTGGGAGCAATAAACTCCGGAGCAATAAGCTCTGGAGTTTATTCATTCATAGCATGTTGAGCTGGGGCAGAGCAACCCTGGCTGGCAGGCGGCTTGGGGGGAGGGGGGTCAGTCTGCCAGCCCTGGGCTGGTCCCCCTGGCTCACTGCACTGAAGCACCCTTGTGCCCCAGCAAGCCCCTCCAGAGTCTACACATGCACTGCTGCAGAGTTTTTTACTCTGTAGCCGTATAGTACTTGTATTTACAAGTACTAACCTGCTGTGAAATAAATTAATTTACTTCAGCCTAATAGGGGCACGTGTGTAGATGCTGAGATGTTAACTGTGCAGCTTATTAGTCAACTGCACAGTAACCATCTTGTGTAGATGTGCCCGCTGTAACTTTTTGAAACTGCTTAAAGTTACAGTGTCATCAAAGCTAACAGACATTCAGTGTTTGATGTGGGGGGCTGGGTGCCTCCAAGCACTGGCAGAAGCCAGGTGGCAGGGGGCACTGTAACCTGCTGTGGAAGCCTGCCAGTCTGATTGCTGCCCAGTTGCTCCCCCTCCCCTGCTTGCCAGCTGGTTACAAAAAGCAAGCCAGGATCCATTCTCCTATTTGGGGTGGCGGTGTGAGGGCATCTAGGGGACAGTGTTCCCTCCCTGCCAATGTCATCGAGTTCTGAGGACCCTCTCCTGTTGGGGAGGTTCCCACTTGAGGCATCCCCACCCCTGATCACAGCCCAGCTGCTCCTCCTTCCCTGCCTGCAGCTGCGCAGGAAGGAGACTCTCTGCCTCCTCCCTGTGACAGACCAGGGACATGACAGATAACCCTTGTAGGGAACTGTATACAAGTTCCCTAAGGCATTCTAATTTAGACCGCCTTCATTTACTACCTGATTTAACGAGGGTTACGTTTTCACATGATTGGCCATTTTAAAAGTTCTCTGCAGCTGTGCACGTGTGTTATGGCACAGCTGTAGGGTGCTTTTAGGGGCCATATCATGTTTAAAATGTCATTTCTGTCTGCGCCTGTAGTGGCAGCACTTTGCTAGGACAAAAGGGGAGAAGAGCCATGCATGCCAGTGTGCCAGAAAGCCCTGACAAATAGTTCACTACAGGGCTCCAAACAGCACTCCAAGCAAGTGGTGCTGCTGTGCTCTCTCTGTCTGGCATGAAGCTTGTGTTTAGCTTTATTCCAGTACAGATCTTGAAATGAGCTCAGTGTTTCTGCTTTTTCCAGATGGTTTTATTTTTCTTAAAGAGGTCATAGGCATGTGTTTTTGAGCTGTTTTTTTACAGACTGTCCATATATTTATGGACGGTGGGCAAGCCTGCCTGGGGGCTTGCTGCTCTAGTGTTGCCGCCATAATTAAAATAGATGCAACCCCCACAGTGTTGATATAGCTATAGTGCCTTGTGTCTGGACACTACCAATGATTTTGGGTTCAAGCCACATCCAAAGCCATGAGGCTGATTCTAGATTTGCATTTTCCTTCTAATTTCCCACAATTGCATCACTGATGAGGAGGCTCCTATGGGAGCTGAGAAAATAGGGAGAGCATGCATAGACCAGTTAGCTCTCAATGTTTCAACTGTTTAGCATCTCACCATGCTTGGAGCAAATCTAGACAACATGCTGGATTATCCACTAGTGTTCTTAACAAACTAAATGCAACTGGGGGAGCCTGAAGAAAAATACTGGTGCACACAGTTCCCAAAAAGAGCCCATTTCCAGTTCCAGGTTGGAGACAATCTCTTCTCTTGACAAGAGAAGGCATGTGGGGTAGGGTTTTCCAGTGTCATTCTCACACCTCTTGTAAAGTTTTACCAATGAGGTAGATGCAAAAGCCGAATGTAGCCAAACCCTGAATCCTTCTGAAATCCCACTCAAATCAGAGCAGGGTCACAATAACAAGAAGTGACTGTTCATGTCCAAAATGGGAATATTTGCTGTCCTTTAGCCATGTGAGTAAGATATTCATAAAATGGATTCAATCAAGATATACCATAAATATCTATAGCGTTGTTATACAGAGCCTGATGAAATGTTTTGCCACATTTTGTTGACAAGATGGGATTCTATTAACTTGAGGCCGGCATTCCTTCCAATCTCTTTCACTTCTGTAAAGTGTCTTTCCAATTCACCCTCATTTTTACCCGTTTTGGCAACTCCCATTGGAAGTATCACTACATGTCTCTCAGCCGAAAGCAAGTAGCTGTGACAGCACTTGATGTTTCACACAAGATTGCATCAAGAAAATTGGATGACTTTATAATTCTGTACTCTGCAAACCAAGAGGAGAAATATGAGTATTTTGTGGTATAGCAAACCTTATGTTCTTTCCAACCTCAATCAACATATTAACATACTGTAATGTTTGGAAAATGATGGCATGGTGTTGATCCAGGTATTGAGGGTCAGTAAATGTACAGAGGTATATATAGTGTTTTACAGTGCACCTGGTATGTGCTCGGCATGCCACAGGTCATGTAAAATATACCATCTCTGCCCTGAGGTGCTTACCCTCCAGTCTTACTAGGGACACAATGCCATGAGTGAACACAAACAGACTGAGAATGATGGTTTCAGGGGGAATAAAACATGATCCTTGGAGTGGAGAACTGCTTCATTTCTTTTATCCTTTACTTTCCCCACAGGTAAAATCAAACTTGGTTGAGACCTGTCAAATGCACCAAAAATAACTGATAACTTAGCAGTTGGAAGGCAGCAGTTTTAAGGCCTAGTTTCTTGCATGGCTTCCCAAGAGTATAGTGAACAATACTGTATGTATCATTTGAGGTACAGGATATAGCCAAGGCTGAATTGATACAGAAGGTGAATCACTATGCTGTCAGAGAAAAGGGTGATGGTGCCAGGCTGTATAGTCAAGCTCCAGACAGTTAGACATTTTAGGTCACTGCCTGAGATTAGGAGCCCTATCATGAAGGGAAGTCCTCTCCACCCCAGTTTCTATCCTTAAGGATTTCACATTGAATGCTGTTCTTTTGCCCCCTTCCAAAGTAAACATACATCCAGGGGCTGAAGGGAGCTGATGAGGAGATCTAGAGGGTGGATTTGGGACAGAAGTGGGAATGTCAGGCTGATGTCCTTTGTAATGATGCCAGTACTACCCATTGCATTCTGCGGCAATACTGGCTGAGGTCGTCTTTATTAGACAAAGACTGTGTGTACCAGTACTGCGAGGTATCGGAAGCCATCTCTGCTTCATTTACAGGACTAAAGGGCCTGAGTTCCCAAGGTGGCTGTCCTCTAACCATCAATGCTCCAGTTTTGGATTCAGTTAATAACCAGATGTTAGGCCGAATTTCTGTTGTAAAGGTAAAAACTGCTGGTATTGAAGTGCCTCGGGCCGCGAACTTACAAAAAGTTTTGCCCTTTACCGGGGCAGAGCCCCACAGATGTCAGTGGGGCTATGTGTGAATAGAAGGGATGCCCACAGGGGACTAGGTGTGTGACCCTAGAAGGGAAGGAGCTCTCTGTATGCACCACAAGGCTGCCTCACTATCCTCTTTCAAACCCCTCCTGAGAGCCCTGCTCTGCCATGGAGCCTCCACAAACCTGACCAATGGAAAGGCAGTTGGCATGTTGCTGCTGCTGCTTGCCCTGTGCTAATCCTAAGCATCTTGTATCACCTTGTGCTCCACCTGTCTGTCTGTTGTGTCTACCTCTTGTCTCTAGCTTGGAGTGCAAGTTCCTCAGGGCAGGGACTATCTCAGGATGGAGCGAGGCCCTTTACATGCTTCCATGAGCCAAATGGCAGCAAGACTGGGTGTATTTCTTGCCCAGAAGATTCCCTGGGGATATGATAGTCGCTCCCAGTCTCCTCTGTCGAGGAGTCTGAGGTGTTAAGTCATACCTGACCCCTTTGTGAAAGCTCTCCCATTTAGAAGGAAGCATTCAGCCTGCCCAAGAGGAACTAATTTGAAAAGGGTCTTTTTCAACAGTGATTTCTTATTGTCTGACTCCTGGCTACTTCTGTGATCAGTAATTGGGCTCTGCTGTTACACAAACTGGGGGAATGGCTTCTGCTGCCCTTCCTATCCAGGGCACTCTCCCTCTCAGACTGATATCTCCCTTTCATCCAGAAAGCAGCTGGAGAGGGGATTAGACCTGCCACTTAGGGATTTAAAGTCTCTCTTGCCTGGGCTTAAAACACAGCTCTATTAGCCAAGGCTGGAACAGGCTCACCAGCCTTTCTCTATGTCCCGGGAATCACTAGATGAGGCTAGAGCACTAAAGGAAGTGGCTAACAAAAGCCCTCCTGTCCTCATACCTGTTTGTAGTTCAGATGAACATAAAGGAAATCATTTCCACCTCTCCAGCTGGGAGGGGTTGAATTCACATTGTTCCTGGTTCCTTTAGTTACAGGCACTGGCTTCTGAGCTGAAAGCAGGTTTCACTGAAGCAATGCAGGAGCTCTCAAGGATCCAGCATGGAGAGTATGCTCTGGAGGAGAAGGTTAAGAGTTGCCGCTGCGCCATGGAGGAGAAAGTGGCTGAGATGAAAAATTCTCTGAACACTTTCAAGGTAAGAACTGCTGCCATGCCCTGTCCCCCTGGACAGGATTCTGCACTGAACAAGATGGAAGAGCCTTTTCAGGCAGCATCCAGGCTTAGAAATGAGATAACTGGAGCCAAATAGTGAAGGCAAACCCCTTAGAATCCAGTTGTTCATTGGAGGTCGTAAGTGAAAATGAGTCTTGATGCCCTGTCTACCTTTGTCATAGAACTGCTGTGGAGTCAGTCTGTGCCCAGGATGCCCTGGTCTGGGGTGTAGTTTTTGCTCTAAATGCCAATAGTCCAGGGAATATGTGAAAAGGAAGGTTTATAAATGGAAGTGATATCTTTTACTGGATCAACTGTGTAGCTGGGAAAGGTGTTAGACAAGTTTTCAAGCACAAAGTGCCCTTCCTCAGGTCTGGGGAAGAAGCAGAGACAGCATAAACTAGCAACAGTTTGGTTTAACCAAGACAGTAATTATTCCCACTTACATTAAGCTTACTTCACAAATCTGGCATCTCACAGGTCTGGGCTAAGGGGTGTTATAGGCTATGGCTGAAGTACCTTGAGAGACATTCATTGAAAAGATTGCACAGAACCTGGCTCAGCACACAGCCCCTGGCTTCCCTTCATGCGCGTGGGCACAAGGAACCTAAATTCTGTGAGGTTGGGATAAAGTCTTTTGGGAAGTAGGACCTCTTCATGTGAGCAAGATGACTGAGCAACATTGAAACTCCACATCCTGATCCCAATTCTGTCAGCTTTGCACCTCTCTGGCAGTGCCCAGCAGTGGGAAAGATGGTATTGCTAATTGGGGATGTGTAGCCCAATACAAGGGAAGCCTTGAAAACATAAGCTGTGTCCCTCCCCTTAGCTTCCATAGAGGAATGCAGCTCTTCCAACCTGTTCGCACATGTTATATATGCAACAGATGCTTTGGAAACACAGAACATCCCAAGACTTATTTAATCAATATGGACATATGGAATATTAAGAAGCTGTTGTATCAGGTGTCTGAATGGGTCAGATATAGGGCATTTCCTGCACGAACCACAGTCACTGGAGTGAGAAAGTCATACAAATTCCCATGCAGAAGATCAGTCTTAGAAGTTCTGCTCGCAGCCCCCTGGGCAGGAAGCAGAGACTGGTTTGCTCAAGCTCAAGAGCATTCAGATAAAAGGCTGGAAATCATGTAAAGTGGTGTCCTAGGCTGATGGAAGTGGTAAGGAATTGACCTGGGACAGTGACCAAGCAAGAGAGGTCAGTCAGAGTGTCTGCTCTGTATTTTAAACCTACCAGACACCCTGCCTCCAGAGGCTGGAAGCTTGTTTGATAAGAGACATGCAATTTAATGTTTCATGGTAAATTTTCTTGGTGGTGTTTTTGCTCTGAGTAGATAAAGCAGACCTCAGGGTTAGGTTCCTTACCTCCCTGCAAAGATGAGGATTTGTTAAGTAATCAGAGGTATACAGCAGTAGCATAACTATGGGGCGGAGGGCAGTGACTGGGGCACCTGCCCGGAGCATTGACTTGGGTGGGGTGTGCAAAAAGAGCATACGTCCCCACACTGTTGTCTCGACTGTTGCTGGGACCACCCAACTGTGCCTCTGGCATACAGGGCTGCAGCAAACCACTGTACGGTACCATTGAGACACTCCAGCTGCTTGATTAAGCATTTATTTCAAAGGGTGCCACTTCTCTACTCCACTGCATGGGAACATGGCTGTGCTCAAGCTGAGCAGAAAGGCTTTGACCTTTGTGTAAAAGCTGTAGCAATCAATGGAGTGGATTGTCCTTTACTGGGCAACACACTGCAAAGTAAGTGGATTGCAAACACTCTCCCCTGCCCAATACACACATACACACACCAAGCATGAATGATCTAGGCTCTACTGCAATACTTCACTGCTGTGGCCCTACAAAACATCACAGTGGGTGCTGAGCTAATGTTAGGGAGGGAGAGTGAACCATTTCCTTGGCTCAGTCAGGAGGTGCCTTGGATTCGGCACATCAGAGAGAACTCCTAAAGGCTGACACTGGGGGAAGAGTGTATGGGGAGACCATGAAAGTGTCAGGGGTGCAGTACCCAGGAAAGTGGAAGGATAATTAAAGTAAACCAAGCTTCCAATTCTGCAAGTACACATGTGAGCAGACCTACTGCAGTACCAGGACCAAGGAGAGGAGAGTGTGTACAGTCATTTTACAGTCTTGTAAAAGAATAGCTGCCCTCTCTGGTCATAGTTCAGAGGACATTAAACACATTGAGAATCATTCTATTGACTTCATTAGGCTTCAGATGGAGCCCTTTGCTCCAGTCTGCTTCTTTCTCTCTAGTGCCATCCATCTTCAGGCCAGTGCTGGGTATGATACCAGGTGAGTTAAGATGACCAGATAAATCCAGGGAGTTGGGGCTAGGTTAGCTATCAACATGCAATGTATGGGATATGTTATATCCTGGAACTGTCAAAGAGCGATAATATCAGATGATCAGCAGCTACTTTTCTTCCAGAAATTCCTAATTAAGATGGGCTATATACTTGTACACAAAGCAGTGGTTCTCAACCTTTTTGGGCTGAAGACAACTTTCACTGGACTTGAGGCACCCCTCATTGGACTTGATACATCTCTCCATAACTTTTGTGAATCAAGTGGCACACAATTTCAAACATTATTTTATATATTGTAGTGCTTACTCCCTTGCAGACGGGCTGGGTGGTGGGGTGGGGGTAGGAGATCTTTCAGGCAGGCATAGGCCTGAGCCTGTTAGCATATCTGCTTATCTCCTTACACCACGTGATGCCTTTCAGAGGATCTGGTGGCGCCCCAGGATGCTCCAGGACCAACACCCTAGTATAAAGGGTGAGTTGAGAGTCATTAGCATAAAACGTAGCAGCATTTGTGTGGCCTGCCTGACACTCTTTCCCCAACAGAAAGCATTAGCATTTATGTTCAACAAGTCATGGCTGAGCTTGTCCTGGGTATTTTTTTATTTTTAGGAGGAGCTCAGTGATGCTAAGTCAATGATTGACGAAATCAGCGCCAAGCAAGAGGAAATGCAACAGAAAATTGAACAGCTACAGCAAGAGAAACGCAGGGAATCTCGGAAAGTGAAAACTAAGTAAGGAACTAAACCCCAAATACCCTGAAGACCTCAACAATAATTGACATTATAGGCTATTTTAGACCACTTCTATCATAGATTAGCTTAATTTCTTCTTAGCTGGACATGTTGGCATCCCCTGAATGGTAGTGGAACTACTGTTCTTTAGCAACACAGTGGCATTTTCGACTCAGAGGCAGCAGCATTTCCTGCCTTGATGAGGGCTTGGACTAGACATTTTGCTACGACCTGTCCAGTCGTATTTCTTCTATCACAATGCTGCACAAAGGTGGCCTCTGGCTCAGCCCTATCCCACAGCAAGTAGGAGGTACTTCCAGAGGGGTTAGTGAATTGACTTTAATGCAGATCCCTGGGGTTGTGTCCAGGGCTGCCTGCTCCTGAGTTGTTCCATGTTTCTATCACAACTATTTTGTACTGGAGCTTACCATGATTAATGTTGGAGCTGAAAGCTCAGCCTGAGGTATTATACTTTCCAGTTGCCTCTTTTATATTTTCACAGAAGAATACAGAAGGATGAACATGGGTCGCAAACAGTGCCTACCCCCCTGCAAGGCAGTCCATTCCGAACAATAAATCTCCCAGAGCCAGTACTGATTAGTGAAGATTTTACAAATCTCATGCACAATGTGACTTATGAAAAAGGTAAGAGGGACAGAGAACAAATCAGGGATTCCTTTGCTCTCCTCTGAAAACATACAGCTCTGAGTGAGTATTCAAGGGACAAGATGAGATGCAAGTCATAGATGCTAGCATTTGTCAACATATTTGTATGCACCTTGGCCTGAGGAGGTTAAAGGCAGGATACTGTGGTGCTGGACTAAGAGGAGACCCAGGACATTTGGATTCATTTGAGGGTTATGGCAGTGTTTGGTTTGGCCCAAGGAGCTGGGGATCAGAATTTAGTGCTGCCAGGGCACTGATAGTGGCATGAGTACTTTGCTAGGGGCCCTTTGGTTGGATTAGGCCTGAGTCTCATTCAGGCCCTAATTTGGTAAAGCACATAAGCATGCACTTAGTTTTATCAAGACAAGCACCAAAGAGCCATCAAGTAGCTGTGCTTTGCTGTCAGAACCCATTGCTTCCATTGTCGATAAAGGGGACATGTGCATAGTTGTGCCGCTGCTACTTGTCCCTAGGGAACGCCCCTGAATGCATACTTTGGCACATGGCAAGTTACCCCAGGTGGGGTAGGGCAGCCCAGCCTAGCCTTCCCTGGGGTCCTGGGGACCTCCTGGGGTTGCATCAGCAGCGATTTGGGTGCACAGAGCCTAGCCAGCAGCCAGAATGTGGCTCTGGTAGGCCAGGCTCTGGTTTTAGGTGGCACATGCTGCCACCATGTGCGCCGCCCCTTTTTTCTGGTGCATTTGTTTTTTCACATTGGGAGATCCTGGTGTCAGAAAAAAACAGCCATGCTGCAAATTAGCAGCACAGCGAATGCCTGCATATGCAGTGCATGTGGTTTGTAGTGCTGCAGATGGGTTTGCAGTGCTGCAAAATTCACGTGTGCTTGTCTGGATGCACCCTCTCTCTGTAACATCTGTATTATCTCTTCATTCTTAAGACTGCTAGCAGGAAAGAAGAGGATTCCCAAGCTCACCTGCTCTGAATGCTTCAAGCACACAATTAAAATGTCAAACATCAGTCAGCAGAAAGGTTCAGTGAAAGTTGCACTCTGTTTTCCTTTGTACTCTACTCCTGCCCCATCCAATCATGGACTTTCCCTGCCCTACCATGCCCCAGTGGGCTGTTTGTACCAACCCTCTCCCTCCTCATAGGCCATCACTTCAGCTGCACTCTACCCCTGCGTCTCTTATCCTCTCCCCTCCTGCTCTGTCCCCCTCAGCCCCTTCCCTTTTCTTTCCATTTAACTGACCCCCTAAATAACCCCTCACCCTAAAAAATCATGCCTCTTGCTCACCCTGATGGCAGGTTCTACCTCTTCCCATGCCCTGTGCCTGCCCAGCCTAAGGTGTGTACAGAACTTCCTTTTTTGCCATTTAAAGTGCTTTATTGCTGGGATTTAACAGAAGTGCATGGCTTTACAGCACTTTAAACATGGGTACAGCACTTTAAATTATCTTGCATTAAATGATGTATTAAATTTGAAGTGCTGTATTTTACAGCACTTTAGCAACCTACAGTGCTTTAAATAACTTCTGTATATTGGTCAAATTTCTGATCAGTGGAGAAGCCCCAAGAGGCTGTGTAGCACCCCCTACTGCCTAGCCTGAAAACTGCAGGGAGGCTCAGAGCCCCTCCTCCACCAACCACCACACTTCTGTCATGTTTAAAAGTGCTGTAACTTTATGGTACTACAAAAAGTACTCTAAATTATAGCACTGTAAAACATGCACAGAGCATTTTTGTACACACCTTAAGCTCTTTGCAGCAGGGGCTGTCTGTTGCTCTGTATTTGTACAGCACCTAGCACAACAATGCCCTATCACCGTTATTCCTAAGGTTCCACTGTGATAAATGTGACCAATATTAATAACAACAGGAATTGAAACGTATTTTCCTCAGTGGACGTTCTAAAGGGAGAAGTCCCTACACTGAGAAGATTAAAGAATTAAAAAGCTACACTTCCCCTTTTGAAGTTGATTATAGCTTTCAGAAAGGAGCCCACTGTACAGCCATCTCATACATGGCTTACCCGTTGTCTTTCCACAGTCTCTGACACCAGAGCCCTGCCAGTGGGAGAAGGAAATGTGAAAGTTGTATCAGGTGCAGGTAGGCAGAGTTATGTAGATTTTAAAAATGTCCCCAAAACTTACCCACCTGCTTCTGTAGATTAGTAGAGGAATCCAGATGAAAAGCAGTGGTAAATGTGCATAGCTTACTATTCTTTCCAGCTGCTGGTGCATTTTCTCTGGGAAAGCAAATATGGTAAGCAAATTGAGGCAGCTATTCAGTTGAACTACTGGTATCTTCTAGATATGTAGTGAAGAATTTTTACCAGAAAAAATGGACTTCTTGTCACCAGGTTTTATGTTAGGAGAGATGTCTAACTAATGCAATTTGCACAACTCACCAAAGGCACGCTGCAGTTCAGGATGTTTCTTTCCCTTCAGTTCATCTTTTAGAAGCAAAAAAATCTAGGACAATTAGCCAAGTGGCTTAACAGGAACAAAATCCAAGCAATTCTCATTAAAACTGTTGAAACCCTGTGAGATTAACCTACTCATCCCCAAACCCCCTTCTTGGCTTATTAACTTCAAAGTACATCCATGCTGCCTCTGCACTGTTGTCAAGGCTGCCTCTGAAACCTAAGCCTTTTCCTGCCTGCCTAAATTAGAAATATAGTGGTGAGGCTGCTCCAGGTGCACCCTCTGGCATCATTCATAAGAAACAGGAATTTCTAGGAGCCACCTCTAGAATGTCCTCTCTGCCACAGTTCATGGTTTTGAGTGGATGGACCCTGAGCAGGTGGGCAGAGTTTATTTTTCTGTGGTGGCTGCAGGAGCAGCATGGAACACATGTAGACTTGCCATCAGAGGATTGCAGCCTCAGCTGGAGCAAAAATTGTAGGACTTGGAGAGCTGCAACAACTGACATGGGCTAAGGATCTGGCCCTTAGGCTTTTTTTACAATAATTCTTTTCATGTACATGATACCTGAATTGGAGAATGTCAAAACACCCACATCAGTGAAGTATCCCCAAATCCCTATGTGTGGGTAAGCATCTTTATGTTCATTTTTACAGGGCACTAAGAGACCTAAAAATAAAAGCCTATATCTTCAAAACTAGACCTTAATTTCTGAGGCCAGATGTTGACCTCTTAGTCTTATCTCCTAACTTTAAACATGTGAGTTTAAAATTGTGGCTGAGCCCAGGCACCTGATTTTTAGAAGTGCTGATTAACTGCAGTTCCAGTCCACGGTCCTGTGCATGTTCAGCACGTTTTGAAAATCAAGTCCTGGATATCTCAGTTTGGGCACTCCAAAGTTGAGGCACCTAAAATTAGGTTTGAAAATCTTTATGGGTGGATCCAGGCTGTATTAAAGAGGGGTGCAGCAAACCACCCCTCAGACCTTGGGGGGAAGGGGGTGGGGCATGGCTGGGGGTGGAGCAGGGGACACTTTGGAGCTAGGCTGACTGGGGACACTGTGGAGCCAGGAAGTGAGCAGGCATGCAAAAGGGAGACCTACCCACTACCACCACTACTGCTGCTGACTGACCTGCGCATGGGGGGAGCCCCAGAGCCACTCTTTTTCCACTCCAGCAGAGACTGTGGGAGCAGCAGCATAGTGAGCTGGGCTCAGCTGAGGACAGCAATAATGGTGCACAGTTTCCTCCTCCCAGTGCCTCCCTCCATGTGTCCCCTGCTGGCCAGGAGCAGGTGCTGAAAAGAGGACTGTGCATGCCACCACCACCACTTTCCCTGGCCAGTCCAGGCTCCCTGCACAGCTGCTCCCTGCAGGCCACAGCTGGAGTGGGTCAGGTGTGTGTCCGGGGCTCTCCCTGTGCCTGCATCAGCCAGGGAGAACAATGGCAGTGGGGGACAGATTCCTCCTTCCAGTGCCTGCTCCTGGCCAGTGGGGTGGAGTGGCAGGAAGCAGGTGCAGGAAGAGGAAACCCAACCACTGTTGCCACTGTTCCCTTCTGAGCCTGGCATACCACACAGCTGGTGCCTATGGCTGGAGCAGGGCAGGAGTGGCCCTGGGGTTTCCTCTGTGCCTGGGTCAGTTGCGGGCAGCAGCAATGGTGGCCGAAGGAGGCATGTGACTACACCTCTGCACCCTCTTGGATTTAGCCCTGAAAGTCTACTCCTGAGTGAACAATATCATGGGAGTCCAAATAGCTCTTCCCCCAGGTGGTCTGAGCACAAGATGTTATCCTGCAGGCTCCTGTACCTTTACAAATATAAAAGGGTATATAATGGCAACCAGAATGCAACAGGACAAACCAGGTACCTTGGGATGCATTCTCTGTCTTCAGTGTAGTAGATGCTTTCAGGAACATTTATGAAGAGTGCCTTCCATCTCATGAGTGGCATTTTATACTTGTGCTTCTGCCCTTGCATTGGTGCAAATCATGAACCTTTAACTGACTGAGAGCAGGTATAAAGTAGTGCTGTTCTGCAGAATCACAAATTCTGGGGCCATTTTCCCTGGTCCAAACTGCCCTGCAGAAAGGCCAATTTAGGTTTCATTCTTATGGGGAAAATATCTCCATTGTAATGTAGCTCTGAGGGAGGATGGATGGCATCCCTACCAATTTGGAGGGGACAGGCTTTACAATTATTACCCAACATTATTTCTAGAGGCAAGTTGGAAATTCCATGTCATGACAGATTTTGAGATTTCAGCATTTCCTTAGTTGTAATCAGGAATGAAGCCTAAAAATTTTGCAAAATCCAGGAAAAAAATTCTTTGGGGTCAGTTGTCCCTTTCCCCCCTTTTTTATCTGATGATATATTAACTCATAAAATGAAATATTTTAAAATGAAATGTAATTTCAACACAAAAAAGAAAGATATCATTCATGCCATGTTGAACTAGGACCTGTGCAATGCAGTTGGAACTTCTTCACCCCACTTTTTATCTCAAATGACATTTCAGTGAAATCTACATGACTGTGAAGGGGTTTTTGACATCAACAAAACTGATTGTAATGGTTTCACTGACGTTCTCCAGCCTAGTTCCACCTGGTTGTTTTTAATAGAGGCATTTTACAAAGATTGCAATGTCCTAATACAGCTTGTGATTTCTAGGAGTGACTAGTGCAAATGCTGAGACAGAAGAAAGCCTCAAACCTTCCTTGACAGCTGAGGCTCTTCCAAAGGGTCACCAAGGATCAACTGTGTGGAAACAGCCCAAGGACACTAAGGAATGGGGAGATGAATACATTTCCAAGGAGCAGCCAGAGAGAGGGAAGGAAATGAGCCAAAGCAGATACAGCTCAGCAGACAGCATCTTATGTGAAACTTCCTTTGCTGGTAAGGATAGAGGGTGGCTGGAGGGTGCACAGTTTGAGTGGGTTCAGAGGAAGCTATGTTAATCTGAAGCCAAATACATGACTGGAGGTGCCTCAGAGCAGGCCACAAGTTGTGAGCTTCTTTCTGATTTGGGAGCTATTCATAACTGCCCAACTGATTTATAGCCCCTTGAACAAGGCTCCCAGCAAAACCCCACAGCTGCCCCATGGGAGCTGATGCATTGTTGTTCTGAGGTCCAGCAGCTGTCAGTCATCCAGGGTCATGACTCGGGCTGCACAAAGACTCCAGACAGTGGCCCAAATCTGTTTGCCAGACTCCAAGGGAAACATGGCTCAGCCCTTTTCAATGTAAGGTTGCCTACCCACTTGCCTTCTAAAGGCCCTTTTTATTTGCTTTTAACCTTCTTCATTAGAGCCCAGAGTTCCCTAAAGGCCACATCTCTAGAGTCCTGCACTAAGGTCAAAACCATCTCCCTTCCTTGTGGCCCTATTCCTCAGCTCTTTATTTCATGGGAAAAATCCAAACAATTTCCCATGACCAGGGTAGCTGCCCTGGTTCCAATGGGGAGGGGAGAGGGGGGAGCAAAAAATGGCTGCGGCTGCCTAATCACATTGGTCAGGGTTAGGGTTAGGGTTAGGATTTTGTAAAGGGAAGTGTGAGAGCAGCAACCAGCACTGCAGGGTGGCTGCACCTCTCAATCCCAGGTCACCCACCTCCTGGGTGCGCAGATGCACCACAGATGCAGCAGCTGGGATCTTTTTTTTTTAAGTCACTCAGATAAGAATCTTACCTCCCTCCTCCCTTCCCTTCCCTTCCATGCTCAGCAACATGTCCCTCCACACTCTTCCCTCCCTTCTTCTTTCCCATTTTGCCCTTCCTCTGCCAGCCACTGCCAGTATCCCTGCTGTCCCAGCTGACCTGGGTGCAGGAGGGGAGGGGGCTCCAGAGATGTTCCTGTTTTTCTCCAGTGGGCTGCATATGGAGCCAGGTTCCACCAGAGACAGCAGCAGTGGCAGTGGTGATGGCAGCAGGTGGGTTTCCTTCCCTTGCATCTGCTTCCGGGGGAGGGAGGGAAAGATGTGCCACTGAGTGGGGAGGGGATGGAAAGAGTAGATTCTTACCTGATTTGGGGGCTTAAAAAAAGACCCCCAGCTGCTGCTCCTGCAACATTGTTGCCTGAAAGGAGCCACCACATCCCCTCTGGATCCTTCCCTGGTGCCAACGTTGTCAGTGGCAACTGGCCGTTGTCACTGCCTCTGTATGTAGCACCTGCCCCAGGTGCCCAGTCGCATCATTATGCCACTGCTTCTACTCAACATCTCCCCTGCCAGTCTCTCCTCCCTATATGGGAAAATTGGTTTATATAGGCTGCCCATTCTTTCCAGCAAGTCTTGTTTGTGAGACCTACCATTATCTGCAGTCCCAAGACTGAATCCTAGCATTTCCTTTGGCTTGAGAGAAGAATCTCAAGTCTCTGGTCCTGAGGAGAGACAGCTGTCTGGTTCTGCTTCCTTCCTGAAATGACTTCTACTTTCACAGGGGCTGAGTGAATTGTATTGAGGATTGTGCTTCTCCAGGCAACAGTCAGGTCGAGAGAACAGCTATAAAATCAAGGAGCTAGAATCTGATTCAGCCCTTGTATTAAGTTAGAGTAGCCTAAGGCTGCTCTGTCTAATGACCAGGGATCCTCGTTTTCTCTGATTTAAAAAAATCCCCAATTTTCAGTTAAAAAAGTAACCCCAAATTCATCTTTAAATGAAATACCACTAACATATATATATAGATCTCTTTCTCTCTCTCTATATAGATATAGATATAGATATAGATATATAGATATATATAGCTATATAGTGGTGTTTCATTTTAATCATGGAAAGATGTAGATATGGGGTTACTTTTTTAATAAAAAATTGGGAATTTTTTTAAATCAGAGAAAACCAGGATCCCTACTTATGACATTGGCTGGTAAGGGCCCTGAAGGGGTAGAGATGGCATAGAGATTTCCCCCACACTAAGGGAATCCCCAGCTCCCCTGCTAGGGCAACTTTACTGTATTTACCCAAATCCAAGATGACCTCAAATATAAGGCACCCCCCCAATAATTAGATTCTATGGATGAAAAATTATAAAACTGTTATAATTCCCTATATCCAGAATCTGCCCCCTTGCCTCTATCCCTCCCATCACTTGTTTCCCCAATGCCAAACCCTGTCACCACTTGCCCTCCCTCTGTGCATGCCCCCATGACCGTTTGCTCCCTTGCCACCTGCCTCCCCGCTTGAACCCTCCCCCTACCATCACTTACCCTATGTGGCAGCTCTGGCTCTGACTTGGGTCATGGAGCACACAGTAGCTCCAGCCCTGGCCCTGGCAAGGCAGCAGTGGTGTCTCTGGCTTGTCCCCATCCCTAGACAGGCAGCAGCAGTGGCAGCAGCTCCAGCCCCAAGTGGTGACTCTAGCTCTGGCCCTGGCTTCAGGACCAGTTCAAGGCCAGGGCTAGAGCCATAGCAGCTGCCTGCTCTGGGCTGGTACTCAAGCCCAAGATGAGATTTATTTTCCTGTATGTTGAATGGGGGGGGAAAAACTCATCTTGGATTCAAGTAAATACAGTGAGTGGTGCAGGCATTTGGAGTAGAGGTTGAGGATCTGGCCCTGAAACAGTATATTCAGTTAAAGGTTAATAGAATTATTATTTAGCAGTAAATCCTTTTTTTACATACTGATCACTCAAAAATCCTGAACATGCAATAGGTAAAATATTTGTTTTCAGATGTCCTTTGTGAACAGAGTATGGCTTACAAACGTGCGTGAAACATGTTGCAGTATCAGGGCTAGAACTTTGTGTTTCAGAAAGAATTCACATAAAAGAGAATCTCCATTAATTTTCCTCAGCTTTTTCTGTCCTAATCTAAGGACATCTTGTCCAGTCAAACATACCTGTTTTTCCTGTTGCTGTTGTTGTTTTTTAAAACTCAAACTTAATTGTTGAAGCCAAAAGACAGAACATTGCATTAGAGCTTTTGGAGTCTGAAAGGAAATATGTCATCAACCTGTCCCTGATCCTGAAGATCAAAGCCACGTTGCAAGGGCCAGATGTGAAGAGGAACACAAAAGAGAGAAGGTACGATACCCAGTATGGTTGGGCCTCTTTCTACTCTTACCACACCCACCTGGATTTGTCTTCTAGCCACACTGAACATAAGTTCTTAATGGGGTTTACAGTAGGATAATTTTAGCAGTTTTTGTGTGGTTAATGATCCTGCCCTCTCCTACCTCTTGTTTTTTCCTCCTCCAGACTCCCCTTTAGGTTCTCTGACCCCTACCACACTTCAGCCTCCCTCTGTGCCCAATCTCTGCGCTTCTCCTGAATTCCACATCTCCTGTCTGCTACAGCACCCTGTATTGGAGACATGGGAACAAAACTCTGTATGCCTCTCCACCTACTCCTCTTGGGCCATCCCCACTTCCCCAGTAGCTGGCTCCAGCATTAGGTACAGCCCATTAGAGACTGATGTCAAATATGTTATGTGGGGTCCCTCCCCTCACTGTCATTCTCCTTTCCACCTTCTACGTCTTATGGCTGTTTCCTGTTTGAATGCAGCAAGAACAAGGTGTCTTGGTTTCAAACTGAAATTCTTTGATTTCCAAGCTGAAAGTCTTAGATTGTTCCTCTAGGCAGAATATTTTAATAGCCCCCCCCCCCCCCAGCAAATAAACACACTTTGTTTTTAGGAAGGCAGAATGAAGAGAAGAAGGTGTTTCCAGAGTTATGGTCATATACATCAGAGACAGAGCCTAATTTTCAGCTCACTCACCTTCCCTTTCCTGCTCTGGCAAAAGCTACAGCTTTAACCCTTTCACAGCTGAACTGTCAGCAACTCTTGGCTGCTCAGCCACAAACTGAAACCATAGCTGCTGCTGGAGACTGGACTTCATGAGCAGAACTAGGATTCTAAAAAAAAGAGCTACAAAGACTGCAGGGTTGTGAAACAGGAGAAGAGAGACCAGGAGGAGTTAAAGCACAAATTTCTTCATCAAAATTGCTGAACAAAAGATAGCTTGATTAGTGGACAATTAAAAAGAAGTGTGGGCCATTAACACCTATTGAGTAAAAGCAATTAGCAGAAATCATGTAGATTATAATGAGCTATGAAGTCAATTGACTCCCTCAGCACTGATTGATTATAAATGCAACTGCTGCTAGTCTGGGCAGAAAATCAGCTTCTCAATTTAAGACATGCACCCCAACTTCAGGCAGCTAATTTGCTGGGGGGGTAAAGGTGCATGCAGTGTGTTAGCAAATATGATATTTCTCATTATCATCCTGGCTCATGATGAAATAAGTGTTAAAACCCTATAATTTCTAGCAAGGTGATAGTTCCAGCTTTTGAGCGGGTCTGCCTACCATGTTACTTACAAAGTGCACAGTGAATGAGGCGGTTTATGATCACATGCAGTCCAGTATTATAACGAGATAGCCAGAGGTTGTGGAACCTCCATACTTGGAAATTTCTAAAAGCAGGTTAGACAGACAGTGGGCTGGGGTGGTTTAGCCAGAGACAACCCTGCCTTGAGCAAGGGGTTGGAATAGATGACTTCAGGAAGCCCCTTCCAGCCCTGTTTTTCCACAGTTCTTCCAATGAATGGGCTTGGGAGCCTTTTTCCCAAACATCTCATACAGGTTTGCAGGTCAGGAGCTAAGTATGTTAGCTCAAATTATTAAAAAGGGTTAGGGTCATGCTGTCAGCCAAGGAGGGTCAAGGATTTCTAGCAATAGAGAATTACTGCAAGGAGGGTAAAACCATATAGGGGGGATCAGCAGGTGCTGGGGGAGTTAGGGGGGATCAGCAGGCACTGGGGGAGTCCCTGTTCCCCCGAGCGCCGCAAGGAGTGACCAGGAACAATGGTCACAAGCTGGCGGAGGGAAGGTTTAAGTTGGACATCAGGAGGCGCTACTTCACGGTCAGGGTGGCTAGAGTCTGGAACCAGCTTCCAAGTGAGGTGGTGCAGGCTCCCACCCTGGGGGGTTTTAAGAGGAGGTTGGATGACCACCTTACTGGGGTCATTTGACCCCAGTGCTCTTCCTGCCATGGCAGGGGGTCGGACTAGATGATCTGCTCAGGTCCCTTCCGACCCTAGAAACTATGAAACTATATCAAACACTGGGTTGCAAAGTTTGTGGGGCAGTGGCTGCCATATAAAATGAGTTTCCATAAGACCTGGCAAAATGACCTCCCACTCTGTCTCTGCTAGTCCTTAGGTACCAGCATAATGCACAGATTAATTATAGTAGTTTATAAAGTAAAGGGGCTGTTGTCATTCTTGCCTTTGCAGCAGCAGGATGTTGGCCACTGTGTTCGCCCTGCTTTACGTGTGGTAGGTTAGGATGTTGTGTCTTGTGGTTGTGTTGAGAATGACTGTGTAGTTTTGCTAACAGACTAGGCAAGGATTTGTATAGGATGGTTTGGATAGGGAGGATCTTGCCTCAGGCAGGGGGTTGGACTAGATGGCATCTGGAAGTCCCTTCCAGCCCTACTTTTCTGTGATAAAGCATAGGGGCAGTTGGTATGCCATTTGTCTGTGGATGCAAAGAGCAGTGCCTAGGAACTGGATTTCCTTTTCAGAAGCACGTTTGCACCTTTCTCTATGTAACTTTCTCTGATCTCTCCTCTGTCCAGTTTCTTCCCCAACTCCTTGCGATACCTGGTCCAGCAACACATAGACTTACTCCATGCACTGCAAGAGAGGGTTCTGAGCTGGCCCCGCCAGGGTGTCCTGGGGGACATATTCCTGAAGTTAACAAATGATGAGGTATGTTTTTGCTTATGACAGAACACATACCACCAAGGCATCATAACTGCTTTAGTTCCTTAACAGGTTCCCATGTGCAGGTCAAGCACAACTGCAGAATTTTTCCCTGAACAGAATTATGTTTTTGCATAACAGTTTTGAAGGAGTCCTCCCACCACGCTCTTGCTATATCAGGTCAAATGGTTGGTTTCATTAGAGTGTCTCCTTTTTCAGCAGCTCATTGACAAACAACTTCCTCTGGGAAGTAACTGTTCCACCCAGGGGGGTGAGATTTTTTTTTTGGAAAGATAAAACAAAACTGACTGTCATTCCTGAAGGAAATAAATTAAGTGCATTCCTCCCCACCTCCTCCAATCAGAGGTTTGACACACTAGATCAGTGTTTCTCAGCTGAGATACTGCAGCACCCCAAGACCCTCCCAAGAGTCCTGTGCAAGGAGGTAAAGGCACTGGTCTTTCCTCTCCTGCCTACTCCAGAGTCCTGTGGACAGGGGACACCCATGGCTATCCCCTTTCACCGTCCAGCAGCCCCTGCACCAGCAGTGTGAGCATTGTGCTGTGCTCTGGGTGGGCAGATGCATGGGTACAGAGCCACACTTTTCAGCCTGGTTCATCCCCTGGTGCACCCAGGGCCGTGGATGGGGCCATGGGAGCAGATGGCTCTGTACTCCAGTGTATGAATCCCTGGAGTAGCAGTAGTGGCTGTGCTTGACCCCTCAGGTACAGACTGGGGGAGATGAGGGGAAGGAGGGGAACTCCATCCCTAGCCTCATGTATTCTCTTCTCCTCCCCTCCTTGCCCCCCAGTACCCCATAGGTGCCATGTATGCAGCCCAGCCCTGCTGGCCGGGTGCGCATAGGCTGTCCATTTTGGCCCCAGGACTGGAGTTCATCAGGGATCACCCTGGGATAACTAAGGCCAGAAACTGGCCCTTTGGTGTCCAGTCCCCAGCAGTGACCTCAATCCATGTGTAGGGAGTCCAGATGCTGTGCTAGGAGCAGATGTGCATAGGGCCAGGCACAGTTGGTGGGGGGTGCAGCCCAAAGGGGTGACTGTTATACTAACATTACCTTTTGTATGATAAAATAATATAGTAATACAATGAATTAATTGCACTAATTAATAACATTAATACTATAATATTTATATTATACTATTCCTATTATATGTATATTAGTGTCTGAAATGAGGGGTACTGCTAAATTTTGCAGATTTGCAAAGAGTGCGAGTCTAAAAAAGCTGAGAACCCCTGCACTACACATACCTGAACACCAGCCAAACCTATTGCATTCATATCTGTTTTGCTCTTAAGTCATGTGCATCAGATGCTGTTATGCACTTGGGCTGTGGATTTTGCACCATCCTTGAGAGCCTGGGAAGAGTGGTTGTGAATAGGCCTGCAGTTGTGTTGCTCACAATTCCAAACTCTTTTCAGCCAGTGGTCTGCCCCAAAAGCTCTCTTCGGGCATTTATATAGGTGCTCTGGTAGTAGTGTGGTGGTACTTTAATTAGAGCTGCTCTAATTAAAGTACCTGAAGTGTCTTGTGTATCAGCATCCCCACACTAAGAAATGGTGGTGGGAGCGCTTTAACTAAAGTTCGTAGAACAAATTTTAGTTAAAGCACCCCCACCACCATTTCTCAGTGCAGGGACACTGATACACAAGATGCTGGAGTGGTAATTACCATGCTCCAGCAGGCTTAATTAATCGAGCAGACTTGAGTCTGCAGATTAATCGAGTCTGCTCTAATGCATTGTAATTACAGTGCATCAAAGCAGCCTCGCTGCTCGTGTAAAGGTTCCCTTTGGACTTACTCAAAGACCACGTCTCACGTCTCCTTGCCTTTTCTGCTGCCTGTCGTCTCTTCTGGCACTTCTCCCCAGAAGCATACTAGCACACTTTAACCAAAGCAATACACAGCCCCCTGCCTTTACATTCAGCCCCAGAAAAAACATTCTGACCACACAGATCTGCTCCTTGCCTGTGGCCTGTGTTCTGAGCGGTGAGTCCTGCATTTTTACCTCTTACTCTGAGAAAAAGCTTGCCTGCTTCAAATACGCCCCTGAACCAAGGACAGCTAGCACCACTCCCACTGTAAGGTTTCATCCAACTTCCACCACAGTAATGTAAATAAGAGCTTTGCCTTGCTTCTGTACTGAGCCCCAGATTGAATGTGCATGAGAGTGTGAAAATCATCTGCTTCTCACTTTGGCCCAGTCTGCAATGTCAGGTGAGGGGTGGTAGCCAGAGGCCTGGACAGTACATGTGTGGTAGGGTTGTCATGAAGACACAAAGGGCGCATCCAAATGTGCAGGCATGTGCAGTTTGTGGTGCTGCAAACCTCTTTGTGGCTCTGCAAATTGCACATGGCAAACATTAAAATGTGCCCTGTGCTGCAAATTTGCAGTGCAGGGCCAAAATTAACTACTGGGACTTTTTAGTAGCAAGAATCTCCAGCAGATTAAAAAGCAGCGCAAGGCATGTGCAACAAGCATGCACCTGCAGACAGAGGCTGGACCATGCAGAGCAATGTTCTGGATGTTGGCCAGGCCTCTGTGCTACCTGACCTGTGCCCCTGCCACTCTAGGCCACCAGATAAGACTGCTGGGGCCAGCGCTTGCGCTGGCCCCAACTTCCAGCTCTGCCTGGGTGAAAAGCTGGGAAGAGCTGGGCAAAGGCAGTTTGCCTGTTGTAGGACAATATGTCCCACAATGAAGCACATGTGCAGGATTGTGCGCTGCAGCAATTTGTGCCACTGCAGGCACATACCCCTTTATGTGTGGACATGGCCAGAGATGGGGTAGGAGGACATTGTGGTCTGGTGGGATCAGAATAGTGCCAAGAGCCAGGAGACTTGGATTCTCTTCTTTGTTCTGACTTTGACTTTCTCTGGGTATCTGGGCAAGTCCTTAACCTTCATGTGACTCCTTGCTGAGACCACTGTATCTGTGCTGTGTGATTGGTCTGCGTACGTCAGGGGTAAGCAATTATTTCGGCTGGCAGGCCACTTAACTAGTTTTGATGAGCTGTTGACTGGTGCACATGTAAAATATTCCAGAAGATGTCATTTTAGCAAAGTATAGATAAAAAATAAATTATATACTAAAAATCAAGAATCGACCATAACATATTTTATTTCAAAAACTAATTTTTGTTCAATTTATGTTTTTTTGAGTAGTATATATAGAGGCAATTACTTAATAGCTCAAAATAAAGTCTTGTTCATATATTATGGGTGTGGGTGGGGAGTCTGGGGGGGTGTTTGTGTGGCAGGGTATAGGTAGGTGGGTGGTGGGGTCTGCCCATGCACTAGGTCCCAGCAGCTGGCTAGGGGTGAGGGAAGGGAGAGGGGGCAGCAGAGCTCATCCAGGCAGTGCAATACAGATGCATTTTACCTCCACTTCCATCTGGCCCACAGCTGCCCCCATGGCACTCTGCCCCTTCAGCTTCTGCCTGGGGCAGCCCATGCCACACTGCCACCCAGCCCCAGCCAGCATGCACAGCTTCCTGGAGGGGCTGCTCCTACTAGTGCTGCTTGGGTGCTGCTTGGCTTCCCCCACATCCAGCAGCTCCTCCTCCTCCTCCTGCCCCTGCTGTACCACTCCAGGCCAGGGGGAAGCTGCAGCCTGGCAGCTCCTGCCCCAGCACATGGAGCTCCAGCTTCAACTCCAGCTCCTGGCTGCCCACAGGTGGCTGCTTGTGGGTGGAAGCTGGCAGGGAACAAGAGCTGGAGCCCCACACTCTGGGGCAGGAGCTGCCTGGCTGCAGCTTCCCCCCTGCCTGGGGCAGCACAGCAGGGGCAGGAGGAGGAGGAGCTGCTGGAGGGAGCTGAGCAATACCCAGACAGCGGCAGGAGCAGCCCCACTGGGAAGCTGTACATGCTGGCCGGGGCCAGGGCAGTGCCATTGGTGGACATGGGGTGGATGTGGCCAGGAGTGTGGTGCAGGGTGCCCTGCGTGGGAGTAAGTGGGGCTTGACCCCATGCAGAGTGCCATGGGACAGCCTTAGGCTGGGTACAATCAATTGATGGGCTGTATCCGGCCCATGAGCCATATTTTGCTTACACCTAGCACAGGCCAACAGAACTGTGCCATGTTATCAGCCATGGAAATGTTGGGCGCTCTCATAACCTCAGGCAAATGGGGTCCTGAGTGGGGTTCCAGCCCTAGTGACACCTCTCAGCAGCTCTCAGCCAGGCTACAAACAGGATGTCTCCCAGCATGGGTACAGCTCAGGTCCTGCCTGCAGCACCCAAGCAGACTCCTCCTGGTTGAGCTCCTGCCCTACGTAACCCAGGAGTGGTGTTAACATGATGACATGTAATTCTGTTCTAGGCTTTCTAGGAGGCTGAAGTGTGGGCGCAATGCCTTGCACACCCAGAGGCCTGGTCCATACCATGCTACAAATAACAGTTGTCACATGTAGCTGGATTTGCCATCCTCATGTCTGTCGCACATGGATAGGCCCTGTGTTACCATTATGCTTGATCAAACAGGCTTGTAGGCCTGTGTATGGACAGGAGCCTAACTTACCCAGCTGCTTTGCTTTTCCTTCATGTGCTCTTATCCTCCTACCTCTGCACCTCAGAGCCCACAGCAAACCCCTTTCTAAGTCACCATTCTGGCAAAACACTGAAGTTGAGCATTTCTACATCTGTTTCCCAGAACAATTTCTTGGACTACTACGTTGCGTACCTGAGGGACCTCCCCGAATGCATCTCGCTGATCCACGTGGTGATTCTGAAGGAGGTATGCACATTCTTACTGCCACAGTCACAGATGCATGAACCATCACACACACATTTATCACGGCCCATTGTGAGCCTGCAGTTAGCACCCATCCCTGACCTTAGAGAATAGCTGCTTGTCATGTCTGCTATTTATGGACTCCTAGAATTTTTTCTAGGAATTCAGGTTTCAAGATGGTAGTGAGATCCTAGCTCATTCTGGAGCAAGTTTTTGATGCCATTAAGCACAAGTCAGTGACTGCCTTTAGACCTCAGCAGCCAAAAGTGCGTTCCAAATTAACAGTCACAACACTAATTGTATCTTGGTTGCCTAGGGGAAATTCTCCATGTTTTCATCATTTGGTGCTCCTCCCCTAAACCCTCCCCTACACCCTCACTCTTTCTGCTTTGCTTATGGGTGACCCCACTTTGCAATATAAACTATCCTGCATCTGCCTGCCCACTGACATCCCCCCAGTTCCACCACTCACCAAAACAGATCCCATGGCATCGTCACCCTTTCCATAGTTTCCCTCCTGCCAAGTTTTTCCCACAACAGGCCTTCTTAACTAATTTGATTCTTCTGTTATCATCTGTTCCTGACTGACAACTTTCCTGATTGATTGGTTACTCTGAGTTATCAAAAGCAGCTGTCCAATGCCATCACTGTCATGCACATGAATGAAATCGTATCCTCAATGTCCTCAATGTCAAAAGGACTAATCAACTGGAAATCCTCGATGTCAACTGGACTAATATTGGCAAATAAACATTCCAGAAAATTCTCCTGTGTAGATCAGATTCTTGGGGAGGATGTAGGAAAATGGATACACCATTTTTTATGCCTCTTCACTGAGACAACAATGCTGCCAGACCCACTTTGCAATTGAAAGGGGTCTAACAATGTGAGTACCTCAATTGGCTCTAAGTACCCTGGTCTATCCCGAGCCAGATTTGCCTATCCTGACTCCTACTCGGGGCTCATCTATACAGGGATGCTCAGGAAAGTGAATCCAAACTAATTTTTAAAATGGACTGGTTAAAACACATTAAATCCCTGTGTGGCCATGCTTATTCAGATTTAAAGTTAAAGTCACTTTACTTCTGAATAAGAGTATGTACAGGGACATAATGCATGTTAGCTAATCCACTTCAAATCCACACCTTTAGATCACTTGGATTAACCATCCTGAATGTCTCTGTGTAGGTAAGTAGTACCTTACATCTCAGGTAATGGCATACAGATCTGTGGAACTACATGTATACGTGACTGTTGTCAGTGGGAGGAAAGAGTTTACATACTGGGATTATCATCATGCAGTATTGCCCTTCACTTAGCATGTAGGTGTGGACTGCAGTAACTGCTTCCTGTACAACATTAAATAAATACCAAAAGCTGCTGGGAAACTCACCTACTTTCCATGCTGTAGTAACTCTAAACCTTCTTTTTCCAACTCAGGTGGAAGAAGAAATTAAGTCTGATCTCTACATACTCTTCTTTCATATAGTCCAGCGTATCCCTGAATATCTTATTCACTTACAGGTAAGACTTCTTGATAAGCATATTCTCGGTCTTGGCCTTGCACACTGTAAGGATAACACTTGGCATCAATGCTGAATCTGATGTTGCCTAACCCAGAGGAGGACACTGGGACCTACCCAGTGCTGGGCCATCTGGCCAAACTTATGGGCCCTTTCCTGGCCTGGAAGCCATGGAAATGGAAGCCATCATCAGGACTGATGACTTCCTCAGACTCTCATATGAATTTGCCCACCCTGGGCCAGCCTTTGTAGCCGGGAAAATGCACAGCTCCAATGTCCTCCCAGTGAGAGAGCCAGGCAAGCACAAGTTTGTGGGGACTGTGCAGGTGGCTGGAGCTGGGCCCGCAGGAGAGAACAGCTGGTCACCTGCAACTGAGTAGCTGCCAACAGCATGGCCTAGTGCCTTAGCATGAACCTGGAAGGAAAGGTCCCCTGGAGAGAGCAGGTTGAGAAGCAGGGCTTCCAGCTTATGGGAAATGTCACTTTGTCAAAATTTGGTGAAATCATTATCAGATAATAACCATCCCCCCTCCCCCCCCACCCCCAGCCATTCTCAGCATTTCTTGTGGACTTGAGTCTCCCTGGCCAGTGCTCAGTACAGACAGCCTCAGAGCTGCTTTGAGCCCTTTCCAGTACATCCAGGCTTTCACAGCCAGAGGTGTAGCAAGGCAACTCTGCTGCTTGGGTAGTGGGTCTGCACAGAGCAATGCCAGTTCCAGTACTATGTTACCAGCCACAGTGGTGTGGCCAGCTGTGATGGTGGCTATTGTTGCACTCCTCTCCTCCCTCAAAGATGGCACTTAGAGCTGCCCCAGTCACTCCCCCTACCCCACTGTTCACTGCCTTGGGTTCAGTGAAAGACTGTCAAACCTGAGGTGCTAGACATGAAACATTTTAAGCTCAACAAACTGCTATTCCCTGGTGAAACTGCTCAGAGGGTAAATTTCTGCCCAGCTCTTGCCCTCTGCTTCAATCATAGCTGTAGCATGAGCACCTATCCGAGGTTCTCAATCTGCAGAGCAGGGTGTTGTTACCCTGCACTTGCGGTGATATTGTGTCTAGTGGTTTGTGTTTCATGGAATCACAGCAGACAGGGTGGCAGGGCACATAACCAACCCCCCAGTCCCAAGACCTGATCAACCATACCTGGCAGCTGCTCCTCCAGCTCTGGGGGTCCCACCACCTCCCTTAGTCCCCTGCTGCAGTGCTTAGCTGTCCTTCAGCTAGAAAGTTTTTTCTAACGTCCAACCTCTATCTACCTTGTTGCAACATCAGCCCAGCTGTCCCCTAGGCATCCGTATAGAACTGCTAGAAGCTAGAGAGCTGGGGAGAGACAGAGAGAGGGGGGAAGAATGGACAACAGGGGAGAAGGCAGAAGGGCACCACTACTAAGGCGGGACATTCCCCACCCCTACCCTACAGCTTGCTACTGTGGACATCCTTTCCTCTGAGCTGTGGGACAAAGGGCAGCGCCTTTCCATGTGCAATATTTAACATTGTCCCCAGCTCTGGATCAGGTTGTGACACAGCCTATGTGCCCACAGAAAGGGCAAGAGGTACCTGTGCACCACTAGGCAAGCTACACAGGCCTCACATTCAGGCACACAGGAGCAAGGAAGCCACTTGCCCACTTGCTATTTAAAAAGGGGCAGGTGAGAATAGAAAGACCAGCCCATCCAAATGTTCTGGGCTGGCCCTGAATTTCAGGATTACATCCCAGTGTCCCCAGAGAGTCCCTTCAGAGGTCAGAAAAAAAATGTCCTCAGTTGGCTTCCTGAGGTTGGTTTCTGGTTCAAAGTTAGCTGCTTTACCTCAAAGTTGGCTGTGGAAAAATGGACAGGGCCTAGCCTCCTCCCCCGCATCCCCATGCTGCTGCTCACAGTGTGGAGAGTACTACAGTAACTTGGGACAGGCATAGCAAGACAGGACCAGGACTGTGTCTCAGAAGTGTAGATCCTGGGAGAACAGCTCACAGGGCACCCTACGCTTGGGGCCAGGCCAAAGAGCACAGTTGAGTCCCCTGGACCCTGTAGTGAGGTAACACAGGAGAAAGCATTTTGCCCTCTTGTTCATGAGAGTGGACACAGCCCAGAGGGGAGGGAGTGGGCACCCAAACAAGAGCACATGCAGAGAAACCTCTGTAAAAGCAGAAGCACAGAGAGCTGGGCTCCAGGTCTCTTGCCACAAGGGGCTTTGTCTGGGGGAGGCATGTTCAACCCCATGCTCATCCTGCACACTGCAGCATGATCACAGCAAAGGTGATTCGGGACCTGGGGCTTGAGACAGCCCTTGTGGCTGACTCATCATTAACTAAATGTTTCAGATGAGGTAAGCTCCAAGGGAGAGTAGCAAGAACAGTGTCCTACTAGGGCCAAGTTGGGGGTTGCATGGTGTTGGTTACCCATGCATTACACTAGCACATGAGGGCTTGGCTGCACCTTAGCAGTGGGAGGCCTCAATGAGGCCAGGGCTGACTGTACCCTCCCTAGCTACTATCTGCTGATGAGCTCCAGACTGGGGAGCATGCCACTGGGAGACCAAGGGCTCAAGAGCAGGTGCACAGGGATGAGCTTGAAGCAGCCTCATTGACCTGTTCCCAGGTATAGAACCGTGTCAGTGGGTGTGGGGAAATGGGGTATGCTCAGCCCTTCCCTCACCAAGATCTATCACTGGAGCAGTGTAGATGAGCCCTTGAGGGCCCAGCCCTTAATTAACTGGGCCTATCACACCTCCAGCCCCAGAATCCCCATGGTACATAGGCAGAGCCATGGCGGACCTGGCTGATCCTAAGAGTGAGCCCAGAGCCATGGCAGAGCATTTATGCCACTCACACCACTGACTCTCCTCTGTGCCCCAGAACGTCTTGAAGTTCACAGAGCAAGAGCACCCTGATTACTACCTGCTCCTAGTGTGCGTGCAGCGTCTTCGGGTCTTCATCTCACACTACAGCCTCCTCTTCCAGTGCAATGAAGACCTGCTCATCCAGAAGCGGAAGAAGCTCAAGAAGTAAGTCTGGGCCCTGGATGTGTCCTTGCACTCCCCAGGAAGATGCAGGGCCCAGTTCTAGGTGGGGGCCTTTGCACCATTGGGGAACACTCTCATGCTCACTTCTTCCACTTGGAGCAGCCACTTTCGGGCAGTTCTAAGAAGGAAAGGGAGCTCCTTTGTTTTGTTGATTCTTTGTTCTCAGAGGCCTGGTCTGCACTAGAAAAATCTGCTGCCAATGGCAGAAGTCAGATAGAGACAAGCATTCAGCAAGGCAGGAGGAAGATGTGTGTGGAGCAGGCTTTAGCCACTGCCTGCTGATTTGGCATGACAAATGCCCTGAGGACCTCACAAGTTAAATGGACAAAGCACAGGGAGTAGCATCATCCTTGTGTCATAGATGGGGAGTGGAGACACAGAATAACGTGCGCAGTCACACATGGAGTTGGTGGTAGAGCCAGCAAGCAATCCCTGGTAGCCTGCATCCTAAATCAGGGCCTTGCACACAAATCCATCCTCCCTTGCAAGACTGAGCCCGAAGTGAGCCAACCCTGGAGTAGTAGCCTGCGATGGGGCAGTGCTCTTTAAAAATGTGCCGCTGGCTCAGCTCTGGTGGGGCTCACTTGCTTGCCCATTCCCTGCCTCCTCCCTTTAATGGCGATGAATTTCCATTCCCCTAGGTCGTCCTTGGTTAAGTTATACAAAGGTCTGGCTTCCAGCGCTAGCCAGGAAGTATCTCCGACGCCCAGCGCCACATCTCTCCGGGACAGCGGGATCCACTCCGAAGAGGCCATGCAGCCGTTCCCACCCACCCCCTCGGCGAGCACAACAGCCCCGTAAGCCTACTGCCAGACTGGGATGGCCAGCGATGTAGATTGCAGCATATCTCCTGCTGCACACAGTCCCACTGGGTTAGGGCAGCAACCGATTGTCACCAGAAAGGGCTGTACCTGCACCAGGAGCCTGGCTGCCCTGGTGCCTGCCTTCAGGGAGGAATCTGGCACCTTTGTGCCATGTGACAAAGGTTGCCATGTTTTCTTAATGGCAGTTATTGGGGGCACAGGATAGTGGGTCTGAGTGGGAGGTTCTCTTTATGCAGCACTCAGAGATGGGGGCAGCATGTAATGCCATGATTGCATGTGAATTCTGACATGCTGATTGGCTAACAATGGCTGTCAAGAATCAAGAAGGGTTTACATAGTCTGTAGTTGGGAAATTGCAGGCCATTTGGGGAGCAGAGGCTATTGGAAGGACTGGTCAAATGGTGGGGAAATACAGTTCACTCTGGTCTAGTTAGGGAGCTTGTAATCTAGTGGTGTCTCTCCAAAAGGCCTGTGGTTCAGATGGCAGCTCTGAGCTGGACATAGGAGTCCCTGGGCATAGTCCTCTGGTCTGGTCTAAATGATCCCTTTGGGCCTTCTGGGCTCATATCTATTGTATGGATGAAAACATGGTGAATTTTATTCCCTGGGTTTGGAACAGCAGTGATTTTTCATTTATTGGAAATGTTTTGTAATTTTTTTTATAGAAAATGTTTGGGTTTTTCCACAAAAAATGTGCAGCTGTCTTCTTTGAGTTCTAGCCAGGTGGGTTGGGAACCTAAGTAGTAGGAGTCCCTCTGGAAGACCCAAGCTGATGAATGGGTTAGCTGTGCTGGCTGCTGATTGAGTGCTGGATGTTCAAGATCTGCTTGGGGTCAGTACCAAGCCTTATGCAAAGGCAAAAAATTGCCAGGGATAGATTTGTGGCATTTCAAAATCCCTCACTGGGTGCTTGTGCTGTTACTTAACCTCAAAAGCTGGCTGTGGCCCAGCAAGTGCAGTGGTTTCAGCAGATGCACATAATGGGGCCATGTGGGCAGCCCCAGCAGAGGAAAAAATTGCACATACTTGAAAGTTGAACGTACCCTCAGATCACCGGAATCTCCTCTGTGCTGCAGAGTTTGGCCACCAGATGTTGCCTTTGGTCTCCAGTGGTCTGCATATGACCATGCACAAATATGGCAGAATCTGGCAAGCCCCAGCTTTCCCATGGCTTGAACAAAGAAACATGAGGCCTCAGGCGCCACAGAGTCACATCAGCATGATGCCAGCATGGACATGCTCCAACAATGGAGTGCTGTAGGGGCTGTTGGCCAATGAGAGGTCTGGCAGAGAGTGTTTCTAGTGCAGACCAGGCCTCTACCCCATTGTGTTTGCCTATGTATGTGTGCTTGAAGGAGCTACCCCTTCCAGCTAGGTGGGGGAGCCAGTTACTATCCTATTAACACTATGCAAGCTCTCTTTTGTCCTGTCCCATGAGTTAGGGGCAGGCAGAGCTGGGCAGGGTCTGAGGCTGCTTTCCTGTCCCTGCCTCCATCCACCCATGAGGTGTTGATCAGGGCCATTACAATGCACCTTCTGCAAGAGGGACCCCACTCATTCTGCATAGCAAGGGGCTTTTCCACAGCTCTCCAGTGGAGCAAGGGCCAGGATGGGCTCATCCCCCACGTGCACAATCCTGGATGCCCTTGAAAAGAAAGGGAGGGAGTGAGATAGAGAGGTGCCCAGAATGACTGTGCAGGGAGATGCAGCACTGGAAAGGTGGTAGTGATCTAATGACATGAGCAGGGATCACTGGGTTTGATCCTTGTTGGGTGTGTCCATTACCATTACAATGGGGATTCCCATCCTGGTAACCTGGGTGCATCAGTTTCTCCTGCTGTGCCCCCTATGCCCTGCATTTGAGGGTGAAGACAACATGGGAGGGGCTGGGCTGGGCTGGGCCTGCCAGGATGCTTATACTTCATAGTATTTCTTCCTCCTCCTCCTCCTCCTCCTCCCCAAGGCATCTGATGCCACAGATGAAGAAGCCCCAGCACACCATGATGGAGAACATCTCAGCTGTAAAGCCCCCCGAGTGGGAAGTGGAAGGCAGAAAACATGAGAGACCCGAGAATCTCCTGGCCACCTCACAGTTCACAGAGCAGGAGCTTAAGGCCCTCACTGCCACCCTACAAGCCATCCCAGAGATGGAGTACGAAACACCCCCAACTGAGCCCATGGCAAATGTTGAACGACCTGCCAGGACCTCTGCTGAGCTGCTGCAGGAGGCCCGCAGCTTCATGCCAAGCTATGAGGAGTTTGACTACGGGGGGGAAGTGTTCACTCTGCCAGGGCCCTATGAAGATGAGACCTTCCAAAACGTTGCCCTATTTGAGAACTGCTCCCCAGCCTCCTCTGAGTCCAGCTTGGACATTTGCTTTCTGAGGCCAGTGAACTTCACAGTGGAACCGGAGAGGACCGAGCACACAGTGCAGCCACTACCCAAGAACTGTGCTCCTGTCAGCAGCAGCACATACAAGCGTGAAGCATTTCACAGCAAAGGCAAGCAGCTGAGCAGGTCTCTGAAGGAGCTGCCTCGGAGTGCGGAGGGCGTGAGTACAAGGCTGTACAGTACCAGGAGCAGCAGTGGTAGTCGGCTGCAGCAGAAGCCGGAGAGAAGTGTGCAGCCTCATGTGATAACCGCTTCATCTAGGAGCTCCCAGAGGAGCTACTTCCCCCCACAGAGAGGACCGGGTGAAAAGCAGAGCTTCTTGGAAGTAAGGAGGCTAAAGTGAAAAGCAAAATGCTGCCGCAGCAGCAGAAGCTGGGATGCAGCTAGGGGAGCACAAGCCAAACTAGCTTTCAGATTTCTATGGGCAAAGCCTGTTCCTGCACACGCAAAGTGCACCACACCCCACATGCACACAGAGGCCAGTTTGTAAGGCAGCCGCCATGGGTCCAGGGTAGGCATTTTGATGGGTTCAGGCTTGGAGGCCACCTTAGCAAATGGATCCCTCCCTGGGCCTCTCACTGTCATTGCCCCAGTCCCTGTTGCCGAAATGCCACACTCCACCTTCCTCCCCATGCTTGGCACTTCATGTAGCAAGCACCTGGCTCAAGCCGTGTTGGTTATAATGGAAAAAAGCCCTTGAACAAAAGGGCAGCACCCCAGTAACTGGCTTGTGCTGCAGGAGCAAGTGAAAGCCAATGCTGCTGGGGCCAGATCATCAGCTGGTGTCAACCAGTGTAGCTCCATCTGGACTCAGCCCATTGGCACCAATAATCAACCTTGTCCCCAGGCTATGCCTTGTCTGGCATTGGATTCATGTTTTTTGTATGAATGTGGCAAGGGCAAACCTTCTCTATCTATAGCAGAAGCCCTGTGCCAGCCTGGGCAATGGTCTTATCTGAGACAGGTGCCACTCCTAACCCTGCTGGCACAGGGAGGCCCTTCCTGCCCTGAGGGTCACAGGAAGGACGCTGGCTGTTTGCACTGCCTAACTGTGGGAGGATCTGCCAGGCAGTGGCGACTTCAGCCACCCAACCATAATGATGAACAGGGAGTGGACTGAGCAGCAATGACTGAGCTACTGCCCCCAGGTCCTGTTGGCAGAAACCAGCAGGGGTTGGGGAGGAGCAACCAGAGAGAGCTCTGGGCAGTGGGATCCAGAGAGAAAGGGTAGCATAGGAACACAGAAAGACAAGGCTACAAAACAGATGAGGAGGAGAACTGAGAGCATGAGTCAGGGTTGGGAGCCTGCTGTGGCACACAGAGAGGGGGAGCTTTCAGGAAAGCAAAGGAAACTGTCTGAAAAGGAGGGCATAGCATCAGGAAGCAAATGCCTACCCCCACAGCATATCTACACAGGAAAGTCAACCCCAATAACTCATGTGAAGTTGCTCCAGATCAGCTCCTGCACTTCAAACGCTCGCCTGGCTTCATCTCAGAACAGCTTCCCCTTGCAAACAAGCCCCCTGCAGTGGAAGGCTCCCAGACAACTCATGTGAGCAAAACTGGGGCAAAAGAGGTGCATCCATGGCAGCTGGGCAAAAGACCTCCCACTGACACATGCACAGAAGTGTCCCTGTGTCAGTGAAAGCTGGCCACCACCCTGCCCTGCCCTGCTGCTTTACCTGTGGTAGAGCCAGCAGCACCCACCATCTCCAGTACAAGGAGGGACCTCCTTCCAGCACCCTGAGCTTGCTGGAGGCAGGCTCCTCCCCCTGTGCAAAGAGGCAGAGATGGAGGGGGCTGATCCTGCCTCCTCCCTTAACTAGGTTTCATGTTGTGAGCAAAAGGATTCAGAGTTTTTTGGCTTGGCAAGGCCTCTCCAAAGGGCGCATGGTGAGCAGGGCCACAGTCACCCCCCAGCAGTGGCCTGAATTTATCATGACACCAAACCACATAACTCATCCTTGCTCTCCCCTGCCCTGGCCTCTCAGGTACCTGCACTCCCTGGTGATGAGGCCTAAGTCCCAGGGCAGTCTGTATGGACGCCTTGGCCTCACTTTGCCTCCCACCAGGGCAGACTGGCCCCCTCCACATCCCCCAATGCAGGGAGCATGGCGAGGGCACGAGGTTATGGACGCTGGTTAAATTGTCTTTTCCCTTTTAGGAGCTCCATGCAGAAGACAACACCAGGTTCTGCCAGAAGGATGACAATGAACAAACATCCTTCAGTGACCACAACCCGAGGCACGAGCCCAAAGGGGGCTTCCGGAGCTCCTTCCGCAAGCTCTTCAAAAAGAAATGAGCGCAATGAGAGAGGTGGGCAGCCAGCCAGCCAAGTGCTCCAGCCCTGCCTGGGGCTGTGGGGTTGGAGGCAGACAATGCCCCCTCAGGGTGCAGCTGCCAAGTTAATGGCTCACACAGTAAAAAGAGTTGGGGGAGGAGGGGGAAGACATTCATCTCTGCTCAGTGCAGTGGTGAGGGGTGCTGTAGTGGCAGACAGAGAAATTGTAGGTTGGTGATGATAGGAACACACAAAGCCTTCATCTGAACCTCAGAGCAAACTTCCCTCCAGGTTTGGGAAGCGTTGGCAAATACCCACTCCACCCACTGCAGTAGGAGTCACATTTCTTTGCCCCTCAGCCCCTCCACATGTCACCTGGGCCCAACACTAAAGTGGACTTGCACATGAGAGAAGCTGCATTTATGAGACCCTCAGCCTGACCAGAAGCCAGACATACCAAACATGTCAAAAAAAGAAAAAGAGAAGGATGTCTCCCTGCAGGGTCCCCTGCCCAGTTGCGCAGGGCAGAGCCAACCCCACAACCACAGGTTGGGCCTTGGCTCTTTTGGCAAAGGCCCCCCAACTGTTTTGGCTGTCCTGGGAAGTTCTGCTGTCACTTTCCTTTTGCCTGTTTCCCTTTGCCTGTTTCAAGCTGTATGAACAACTGCTCTTGCTGCCACGTGACAGAGTTGATGCTAGTTCTTGTAGGATGGTGCCACCTTCTGACCCTCGCTTGGATCAGGGAGCCACAGTGCTAGGCACTTGTGACATGAGCAGTCTACCGTCCCCTTTGTGTACTGAGCAGGTGGCTCAAAGCAGAGACTGTTTCTTCATCTGTGTCTATACAGCACCTGGTGCAAGGGTGGGGGAGTGGAGTGGGCTGATCATGTTGGAGGCCTCTAGGTGCTACTATAATGTTTGTTACTAATAACTATTACTTTTTGCATGAAGCCGCCTTGCTGTACCGGGCATGTGCTATAGATTGCTTGGAATAATCAGTTAACTCTGAATGCATTACAAGCATTTCTGTTACCACTTTTTTCTTCTGATTGTATTGGCAAGGATTTTTTTTTTTTGCCATAACAAAGCCACAATTTTTTTCACCGTGATATTGCTGTGAAAACACTCCCGCTTAGTAATGCTGATAACATAGACCAGTAACATATATCCTTTAGTTAAAAAAAAGAAAAGAAATGGAAGGAAATTAAATGCATCTTTCCTGTACCCTACATGTTTGGCAGTAAGAGCAGTTGTTTCCATGGGGCTGCAACACTGGAAGCAGTGTACGTATTACCTTGGTGTTACTGCAGTGCCTATGATACTCACAGAGTGCATTTACATGAGATGTTTACTATGCAGTTGACTAATTAACTGTGCAGTAAATGTCTTGGTGTCTACATGTGCGGCCCTATTAGGGCAAATGAAACTAATGAACTCCACAGCAGGGAAGGACATGTAAAATACAAGTCCTACCCTGCTATGGAGTTTTTTGTGCACAGCAGTGCACATGTAGACGTTGCCCTGGCTGGCTGAGGCACAGGGTACTTCAGTGTGGAGCTAGCCAGCAGGCAGCCCCCAGGCTGAAGCACCCTCATGCCTCAGTCACCCCTCTGCAGCACATGGAGCCTGGTCTGAGCAGCCTGGGTGGGCAAGGGACCTGGTGGGGGGAGGGTGGTCAACCTGCCAACTCAGGGCTACTCCAACTGGGCTCCACATGCTGTGGAGTGGCTGGCTCAGACACAAGGGTGCTTCAGCACAGGGGCTACTTGCTGGTTAGCCCCACACTGAAGCACCCTCATGCCTCAGCCAGCCCCCCTGCAGCATATGGAACCTGGTTGGAGCAGCCCCGGGCTGGCAGGCTGACCCCTCCAGGTCCACTGCTCCAACCAGGCTCCACAGGCTGTGCCCAAATAAACTCTAGAGCAATATGCTCCAAAGTTTATGCATGTGCATTAATTGTATGTGCAGATGTGCACACAGAGACTGTCTTGGGTGCTGTGCAGGCACTGTGTTAAGGATGGCTGTCATCTTTAAAAGTACTCACAGTCCATCTAGATACAGGGTGAAGGCAGAAGCACAGCATACAGAGCTCCCTGACCACTGGGCTCCATGAGTCCATGAACGGGTTAGACCAAGGTTGAGTCTGAGCAGGATACTGAGTTCCATGCTATAGTTACAGATGTCCCTGCAGCTTGGTCAGGTCATGTGTTCTGTCCAGGTACTGGTGGTGTGCGTGTGGGCCTCACTGCATGCTTTGAATGGAATTTGGATGTGGGGGGAGGGAGTCTCCTCCTGAGACTCCAACTTGCTTGTGAGTTTTCCCTCTAAACTTTCTAATAAAGCCCTCTGAACCACACCCTCCCTCCTCTTCAGTCCAGCAGTACAATTGATAAATCCATGCCTCAGGCTCCTGCTGTTGCTCATGCCCGGCTCAAAAATTTGCCCATTTCAATCATGTGAATGCTAACTGACCACCAGAAAGAAGCTTCCATGGGGAGCAGAGAGGTGTGAGGCTTTGAAGTCTGACCCAGAGAGTATGGTGAGAGAACTCCTGCTTTCCAATTATGTCATCCAGAGGCTGCCAGTGCCAGGACTTAGCATTCAGTGCTTCACAGAGCAATGGACATGCTAGAGCAGCCAAGCCTGATGCTAATCAGCATGCTGTCCAGCAGGTGAAGTGGAGGTGGCCCAGTCGGTCCAGCAGCAGGCTATGGCAGTGCCATAAAGGGTCAGGAACCTGGAGCCCCAGTTGGTGGTTGCTCATGGTCACTCGCACACAACGCAGCCCTCTCTTGCAAGCTGGCAGTCTTGCTTTTGGCCAAACTTTTTCTTTTATGGATAAAAAAATATGATTTGTCACCAGAAACTAACATTTCCAGGGACAAGTTTCATCTTTGTTGTCAAAATATTCTAGCAGTTGAACAATAAGAGAAAAAAATTCAAGAGAAGACAACATTAGCCACCCCTCCCCCCTATTGGTTTCTAAAAACTGAAAATTAAAAAACTTTGTGGCTTCTGGGAACCATTTTAGTTAAAAAAAATACATTTATTTGGTTAAAAAAAGTCAAGAAAGTTTGCAGGAAACGTTACTGTCTCCCCTCCTGCAAACCATTGCAATAGAAATTTCCTCCCTAAAGTACCTGGCAGTGATCAGATCACACTGCTCTAGCACTTCCCCACAGTGATTCTGCCTCCTGCCACCCTGGCAACCTTCTGCCCAGTGTCGGTTCAATCAGTTCATGGGCACCTGGCCTGCCAGTAAGGGCTCCTGGATGCCTTTTACTACTGAATCAGTGCAGCCAGAATATGGCACCGAGAAGCCAGCTGTGGACAGACCTCTTTGCCCATCAGCACGCTCCGCACCACAACCAGCCTCACGGTCTAAACAAGAAAGGAATCATCCAGAGCAAAGGAGATGTGAGAGCCCATCAGGAGAAGGGTGCAGGTTGCACTGAAGAGCAGTCTAAGTTAGAGGCTGGAGGAGGAACAGAAGGAGGCTGAGTCATGTAGCCCAGCTGCAGGGCAGCGCCATCAAAGGCACAAAGGCAAGAGAAGGCTCAGGGAACGGTAGTGAGGAAGGACTGGGAGAGGGCAGGGGTGTACACAGGGTCAAGTTCTTGTGGCCTGTCTGATTCCAAACGCTCCATGACAGGGGAGCTATGCTGGCAGAGCCAGACATCAGTGCAGAGGGGCCCACTGCAGTAGCCAGATTTCATGGAGAGCAGCCAAGGATGTGCAGGGACCTGGGGAAGCCCGCTTGGTGTTTCAGCTTCTGTTTGTGGTCTCGGGTGGATGTTACAGTTCTGCTCCTGTGCCAGTTCTGCCTCCTTGTCCCATAGGGGAATGTCACTGTTCTGCCTCTGTCTCTGCTCCAAGGCTGAAAAGTGTATCTAAAAAGGAGAGGAGCCTGCTCAGTACAATGGCAGGTGAGCTCATCATCTCATGGGCTCTGGCCCAACCCTTGCTTTGATGCGCATGCTCTGGAATATTTTTTTCTGTCTTTGCCAAATAAACTCTGCTTTTAAATAATCATCTTGTGTCTTTCTTTTGTTTTCATCCAAGTGGTTAATGCAAATTCAGCTAGAGTGGGGGGCGGGGGTCTGTACTAAGAGGTGAAATGGGGGAGGGAGGGAGGAAGGGAGACAGGTATTTCTGATACAACCCTGCTCATGTACAAGAGGATCTACAACATCCTGCTTCCCTGAAGACGGGGTGTACAGGGATGGGCCCCCCCAGCAGGCAGTGGGTTCCTTGCTCACAACACTAAGCTTCTTTCAGCCAGTCTTTAACCCAAAAGCCCTCTCAGCTTGTTTTTGGGACCAAGCTTCCAGGACCTCTCTTGCAGTGTGTGAGGTGTTTCCTTGGTGCATTTTCTCACAGCTATTTCTCTCACAGATGAACTGGCTTTCACACATCAAGGCCAAATAAAAGCCCCCTGCCTACTCCTGTGCTTTTGTTTTGGGTAGTAATGAATTGGAGGTGGGGGGGCACTGTTGATTCAAATGCCTGGTTCTATCCAGGAGCTTAATGGCTTCTTATAACTATCTTAAGTGAAGAACAGCCACTACATTCAAAGAGATTTAACCTACACTCTAGCACTAGCTTTGCCATTGTCTCAACAGTCAAAAACAATGGCACCCTAAACAACCCCTCCCAGACAGACACCTTCCTCCCCATATTTTCTTGCATACCACATGCCCTCATATAACACACGTGCCTTGTTTTGGGAAGACAGAAAAAGATCTTTCAGCATCCTGGCCAAAATCTGAGCCCATGGAGCAGTTTGCTCATCGTCAGTCAGCTCACTATCTGTCTCAGACAAAAGCTAGAGTTTGAATCCTCTCACAATCACTGCCAAATTTGCAGCAGCTTTTGACTGCTCAGAGAGTTAAAACTGGATTCCACCCCTGCTAAATGCTGGCTGCAGAGAAGGGAGAGAAACAGAGCCATGACAACCATTACAGTGTCTCCATGCTTTTATTCAGGTGCAGAAGTCAGCTTCCCAGCTTAAAACACCCCCCCACCCCCACCTCCAGTTTTGAAGGCTAATGTTTGGCAAAGAGGGTGTGTGTGTGTCTATGATATGAGAGTAAGTATGGTAAATACTGTAAAGATGCTGCAGTCTCACCATGTACAGAGCATTTTTAATATCAGGCTATTTGCACCTCTCCAACCCAAAACAATTTCACTGCCATCAAAGTATGCTTGGAGTTTTGTTTCCCCTCCCAATTTCCTTTCATGTACATAGGACTGACACTTCCTAAGGAGGCCTGGGGGAACAACTATTGTTTCTGTGGAAGGCACTGTTGGCAGAAGGGCTTACCATATTTGTTTTAATGGGGAATTTCTTCCCTGTCACTTTTCCAACATCATTTTTTTACACTTGCATTCCCAGTTGCAGCAGCAAAGACCCTGACATCCTGCCCCTCTGGTACCTTCTGAGATGATTCTTATGGATACCTTGGTTCAGTGCTGGATGTTGGATAAGGCCCTCTACTCAGTCCATCCAATTCCTAATCTACTTTCTGCTAAGAGAGTGGTATCAGACCTGGTTCCTCCCTCTGGCCTGTCATCACATGGCTGTTTCATTTGATCAGAGACTGTCCACAAAGCATCCCTTGGCAAAGATGAGACCTTTTTCAAGGTGTTAGTTTTCAGCTTAGGCCAAACTGTTTTTTTTTTTTCCTTTTCAGTACCCTACAGCTTGTCCAGCAGTGTTCTGGACAGAGGCATCGTCCTAGGGTGACTGCCATTGCCCCATGCTTGCCAATCATTCCCCATGCTGATAGTAGGAGCCGCCCTTTGGGAAGCCTATCATCCATTCCTGCCAGCACAGGTCAGTTGTCCCACAGAGTGAAGCAGGAACATCTATACATCTGCATCCAGTGGGAGGGAGGAGTCAGATGTGGTTCTTTCCGTCTTGGTTCCTCATTGCTTGTCAGAAATAGCCGGTAAATGGGAAGGACCCTTTCCAGCTTCAGACCCACAAGAGCATTAGCAGCAAGGATGTTTCTAGGACACTCCATCTCCAAACAGGTCTCAACCACCTTCCCTCTTCCCTTTCTGGAAAGCTACCACAGCATGTACTGTATTTACTAGAATATAAGATGTCCCCCATTAATCAGATTATTTGTATGGAAAAATATATACATTTCTTATAATTTTCCATGTACAGAATCTAATTAGTGGGGTTTGCCTTGAGTTTGTCCCCCTCTCACTGTTACAGCAGGGAAAATAAATCTGGGGGCATCACGTAGCCCCTTTGTACTTTGTCTTCCCAACTTCTTCCCCCTGCAGACCTTTTCCAAAGCCTCTTTCTGTCAGACCCTGCTCTCCCTGAGCACATGGAAGTGAGAATCAGATTAAAAAACACTGTGCTTGCAATAAACATACCTACACTAATTTGCATACAAATTACTATGCGTATCCCTAGATTAAGCTAATCTAGAATCAATGTATTTTACCATTTTTTAAGTTTCTGCAAATTTGGGCACAGGTACTCAGGAAACACAT